AGATCAATAGTAGCTGTTTGAATGTTGGGTGGTGTAGCTGAGCCACCAAGAGAGTGGTTGGAAGCACAGGGAGAGGGCTATTGTGCCAGGAGACTAAGTACAAGCCATGACCCTGGGCTTGCAATGCATTAATTTTGTGATCAGGGGCAATTTTACTTTACCTCTTTCACTATTGGTCTCCCCACTTATAATAATATGAAGCTAATCAGTAACTTCAGGCAAGAAAATGAAATGGTGGGCATGTGAAATGCTTTCTTAAACTATAACACCAAGGTATTATCTGGATACATGCAGCTCATTTTCTAACACTAATTAAAGCAAGTGCATCCTTCTGTTCTTATTTACTTGTCAACAGTATCATCTTGAACTATCCAGCTCAGAGAAAAATCTGTGCAATTAAATAACCAGATGCATCATATGGGGATGATTAATTTAAACTATTTCTTATATAAACAATACATATTTGCTATTATTAATGCGGTCTGAGGAAGGGGTGCAGACTTCCTTTGGAATGTATAAAACATATAAAGTAAAAATATCTACATTTCCAGTTCTTCATTTGTTTGTTTTTGTTTTTGTTTTTCTCTGGTACCGGGAACCAAACTCACGACCTTACGCTTGCCAGGCAGGCGCTTTTGCCGCTGAGCTAAATCCCCAGCCCCTCTTCATTTGGATCTTAATTGTTTCTGCTTTCATAATCCATCAATATGTTTTTGACACTGTCTGAAGGGTTAGACAAGGAAGATATTTTCTATGAAGATGTGTCTAAATGCATCTGTATGTCCCTTCAGCCAGCTCTTGCTTATCTTTGCAAAGAAAGATGCATTTCTAATATATATCTTGTTCATAAGTCACTCGTATTTTGCTGTGGAGTTAGGCTGACAATCCAGGGGTTGCAACCCAAAACTGTGCCTCTGCATTCCCTAGAGTAACTTAAGTATCAGTTGAAGAAGTTTTCTCACAATGCAGGTTATTTATACAGCATGACCGGTGCAAATGCGTGGGACTGAAGGGTCTGATACTTGCTTTTCCACTGGTCACTTACTGGTGCGATCACTGTGTCACTGACAGGTGACAGTCTACTGCACAGTCTAGCAATAATAAGAGAAATACTGCAAGGCCCTGGCCCTAGAAACACTCACTACAATGAGCCACACAGCCAGGTACACACTCATAATGCACTATGGTGAGGGTCACAGTAGACCTAGGTAAAAAGCTGGTGAGAATTCATATCATTCTTGTATTTATAGTCATGTAGCTTAACAATTTGGAAATCTAGAGAGAAATCAATCATAGTCGCAGGATGTTTGGTTTTAGATACTCCAGGAGAAAACCCAACCTTGCACTGAATGACATCTCTGTCCTCCCTCATCCTCAAGGATCAGATCTCCTCTCACTTCCGTCTGAAGGGGCTCAGCAGACCCAAATCTTGAAACCAGGGACATCTTCTTCCTCTACGGAGCAACTGTCATAGAGAAGTCATAGGTGTTCAGCAGAGGTTGCAGAATATGTAAGTCATGGGAAGAGACCAAGGAAGAGGGAGATTCGATTATTTCTGTAAGGAAGAAGGAGGGAAAATAGAAAGGAAAAGGTTCTCTTTCATCTATTTGCTAGCCTTCCTCCCTGCCCCTCTCAAATCTAAAGGAAACGCTTGGGTAAATCCTGTTAGGCAGAAGCCAAGAGCATTGAAGCCTGCATTTATTTTGCAGGAAGGTGCTGAGAATCTCACAAATCAAGTGTATGATGCCCTAGAGTATTAGTAACCCGGATTTTCCTTCCTTTTACATGGAATACACCTCACAACCTCTTAAATATCCATTATTAAATGTCTTTATTATCTGCTATCATTATATATGGAAGAAAACATAATTAGCCTGCAGGGTCTCTACCTGCTAGGTGAACCCTGGGCAGGAGTCAATGCCAACTCCTGCTGCCGCAAGGATTAAGGTCCATGGGTTCTCTTCCTTAATATTTGGGGTGGCCTCACTTTGAATCTTCTACGTATGGCTCACCACTTAAATATTTTAAGTGTCCATTCATGATGATAAAACTAATTGTTTTGTATCTGTCTAAATCCAAATTTATACATGGTGTATATTACACATTAGAGTTATCCCTCTATGCACACTGCCCCTCTCCTGCCTATTACGGGGAGCTCGGTAGAGGCACTGAACCTCGTACCAATCATTCAACAGTTAAATGTCCCAAAGTCTGCATAACCCACTTTACTGGGTCTTGAGACAGAACTAGTGCCACAAAGATTGCTTTGACTCTGCTCGCCCCTCCCCCACCCTCAGCTGCAGGGTCCCAAGTACGACTTTTTAACCATACCTATGGTGCTGCCAATTCCTTGAAATTCGTTTTTCCCCCTCTCCCCAGTAACAGGAGCACAGAGGACTGTGTTTGGGTGCTGTGCCCAGCTAAACAAAGGCAGGCTACCGCCTAAGTTTGGTATTGTGCTCTTGGTTTTCCTTCTTTGGTGACTGGCTTGTCTCAGGGATGCGGGTGGACGAGCCCACAGATCCAAAGTTCAGGCAGCTTGTAAATGCCAGGCATGTAGTGGGGCCGGCACTAACTGCCGTCACCAACAATGTGTGGCCAGGGGCCACAAGTGGGCCTCAGCAGGCAGCACAGTCCCTGAGAACTGCTAAGGTTCTGCCCATCAAATAAATTTATTAAAGACATAAATTTATTGCCAGATGTGGTGGTGAATGCCTATAATCCCAGCCACTCAGTAGGTGAAGCAGATGGATACAGAGTTTAAGGTCAGCCTGGGAAACCTAGTGAGACCCTGTCTCAAAATAGAGAGGGCTGGAGTGCAGCTTACAGCTCCTTGGTTCAGTCCCCCATAAAAGGACAAATGTATTAAAGAACCTCTGGCCACCTCCGTCACTGGGGAGTTTACACTCAGTGGTGGCATAGTGGGATGTACGACTCCCAACATATATTCTCATAATGAATACGATTTCTTAGGGAACACTTCTCTTCTTTGCTTTGATGTCCTAAAAACAGAAGGCTACAGCCTCCGAATGCCAGGAAGGTGTCTGACACCGCTGATGCTTGAGACTAGCACTATTTTAAATCCAATAGTAGTTAGAGTTACAAAAGTGGGGGAGGAGCCAATTTGCCATAATCCTCCTTCTCAGACAGCATGAATGCAACAATTCCTGCATTACAAGGTATTATTTCCCAGCAGTGAAAAGCATTCATTTTCTTGCTTCTTTTGGTGCTTCAATTTGTAGTTCCAGATTTGTACTTAAGAATTAGCACCGTTTTACAACAGCTGGACAGGACAGCTGGGTATGGGCCTGTAGTCCCAGCCACTCTGAAGGCTGAGGCAGGAGAATGACTTAAATCCAGGAGTGTGAGACCGACCTGGGCAACATAAAAAGACTCTGTCTCAAAGAATCTATAGCTGAAGAGCGACAGTAGTTCATGCTCCTCCCCTAAATCTGCATAGATGAATGTTAAACATACTATATGGATCTCCATAATTTTGTAAGGAATGGCATAAATTACAAACTAAGTAAAAGCAACATACAAGAAGCTATTTTGCAATATTTGATGTGATGATTTGGCATATTGATCCCCTTATAATACTGACATGATATTTACAATTCATAGATCATTTCTAAACCCGAGTATTGCTTTTAGCTTTAAAAACAATTCTGTTGTTAATGTTTCAACAGGGCAAAGTTTCTCCAAACTGAATTAATGTTCTCCAAGCTGAATTAATGTTCTTCCTCTAAGAACTACAATGACTCAGGAAGGTGGTCTAATCTGTCAGTAGGAACATACTCTTAGTTGTAACAATACACTTGGTGATTTTGCTAAACTGGAGAGGGTGATTTATAATTGTCTGTAGACTATACAGCCAGGTATCATGGAACAGTGAGAACTATTCAAGGATGGTTGAAGTGTTACCTTTGACATTCTGCTACCCTTTGGTCATATAAAAACCATCGCTCTTTTTCACTGGTATGTGAGCATACTTGCCAGGGTTAGAGCAGAACATACCTTAAGAGCTTAATTCCTAACTTTTATTTTTATTTTTTTTTGTTTTTGTTTTTCTCCGGTACTAGGAACCGAACTCACGACCTTGCGCTTGCCAGGCAGGCGCTTTGCCGCTGAGCTAAATCCCCAGCCCCAATTCCTAACTTTTAAATATTTAGTTTGTGATGCACGGAACTCTCTCCCCACCGCTCGAAAGCTGGTGGCGGCCCCAGCTGGTGGTACGGTTGCGCGCTCTCCCGGGCGGGCGCCGTGCGCCAACGCGGAGCGGTCCAGC